GGAAAACTAGCCAATAAATGACCCCTGGTTAGGTACTGTGGGCCGCTGACCGACCCAGGGTCCCTACCATTGTTCTAGAGGCCCAGACCAATGCGAATCGTGGCCCCCGGCTTTGCTCCTGCTTGGGAAATGGACTCCCCGGTTTCAGACTGACAGGAAGCCGAATGTCCGGTGTTGGTGGTCGCTGGCCGACGTAAGTCCCGCATTATCTAAGGGGCTCTCAAACGGCGCAAGAGGCCCTCTGACTGACATTTCAGGTCACGACCCTATGGGCCGCGATTCTTGATGCTACATACAGCCAACCCTTCACGGCCTCAGGTCTTTTAATCGGGCCCTTGATCGTCGGTCCCGTTGGGCCCTCCAGATTCTCCGACCCTGCTCGAACACTGCCTCTGGCCGACTCGGGTCCCCTTGCCAACACAGGGCCCCTATTAGGCGCTGTGGGGCCCTGACAGACTCTGGGCCCCAACCAATGTAAATCGCTGGGTCCGGCTTTGTCCCTGCTTGAAAAAAATGGGTCCTCAGTCCCATGCCGGCACGGAGGTGCCTGTGCGTAACTGGAAGTGTCTGACCAACATATGGGCTTGTATCGACTCAGGGGGCCCCAGCCAGCAGGCAAGGCCCTCTGGCCGGCATGAGAGTACCCGGCCCTGTGGGCCGGGGCCCTGAATGCAGCCTCCGGTCGGCCTTTCGGGCCACTAATCGTAGGTCCCGAGGGGCTCCCCGGGTCTCACAGAACCTAGGGAGAGGGGGCACGCACCCCCCCCCCCCTCCCCGTGTCCCCCGTCTGCGCTACTGGGTCAGCCCATGACTGACGCGACCTTGGATAAACAGCTGGCTATACATTCGGGCAAGGCGAAGATTCTGATGCAACGCAAAAATGTTATGACATCAATACGCTGATTTATATATCGTAAAAAGAGGTGACATTGATCTTAAATGACCCTCACTTACTGACATGACATTCAATTGGAGCCATGAAATATCTCTTGTTGACTGATGTATCATCAATTTCAATATATAATATGTTAACTTGAATTCGCGTGCTCATTGGGCATTCAAGAATCATTACCAAAGGTCGCGGTCACCGAAGACGTTCATTATATAACCACTCCATGCCTTCAAAGCCTCTAGACAAAACGACACGGTGCATGCAGTACCACAAATGTGTCAAAGTGGACCGGTGTCAGCTGGCAGCTCTTTCGCGTGCAGCGAGATGGCGCCACAGGTGTGAAGATGTGATGCCACAGATGCGAAGATGTGATGCCACGGATGCGAAGATGTGATGCCACAGGTGTGGAGATGTGATGCCACAGATGTGAAGATGTGATGCCACGGATGCGAAGATGCCCTGCGCCGCGCCGCATATCTTGCAGCGTCTGCTGCGCGCCGCCGGGCACGTCCGGCGGCTCTCCGAGACGCCGGCGCCGCGGCCGTCTGCAGTGACGTGGGAACGGCGGCTGGGCGGCGCTCCTGTGTATACAGAGAGCGGACGACGGGGCGGCCGCGTTATCTGGCTGTCGCCGCCGGCTGACCGGCGTCCCCTGGTGGCGGCGGCGCGTGCCTCGCCCGGCTGCGTCCCCGCAGCTGGTGACACAGCCTGGTAAGCGAAAGTACCATCTGGTGACGCCGGCTGGTGATCGGCAGCACCAGGCCTGGGCGGCCCGTGCATCGCTCCGCCCAGTTCCCGGTACTGGCAAAGGTCAGCAAGGTTATCGCCCACGTTAAGATGATGCCGCGAACGAAGATGACATCTTTGTGCTGTATCCTCCCCTGCGTGGGGAGAGATTGGGGTTGGGGTGGGAGTTGGGGGCTTGGGACACTTATGTTGCAGGACGCTTATGTTACCCTACCCGTTAGTGACTCTGTACACTTGTCATTAAGTTCCTTTTGGTCGATCCTGAAGGAAATGACAACTAGATGTGTCCTTTATGCCTATTCCGATGATAAGACACAAAGAGTATCCGTTCTCGAAGTTATTTCATCACGCATTGGATCACAAAGTCTCTTGTAAAGATTTGATTTGCGCAGCACTACTGCCATGCAATTGTGTACATTTTCTCAAAGATGGGGGAGGGGACGGGGGCGTAAAGCCCCCTAATCTTAAAAGTAAACTCTACCCCTGGGAACTTAACATATCTGAGAGCCAAGCAAGGTGCTCACGCCCAAGCCACGTTTGCCACTTGCCTCTCTCCCAACTTCCATGCCTAAACGTGGCTTGGGAAGGAAAACTCTCGTTTAGAGAATGACAAAAATTATGCTTAAGGCCAGGAATACAAATGCAAACGTCTCCCATGCATGGAGATCTGCTTCCAAAGCAACGAGTGGCGATCTCCGGCAGAAATATCCGGAGTGCAAGCAAACTGCAAATGTTTTGCTATGGTGCGCGACTGCCAAAATAAAGTATCCCGCATATAACTACTGCCATTAACATAGATATTTCATCAACTAGGCAGCATTCTTCTTCGGAGGAGCTTGTAGACGCGAGAATATTAATTGCGTTGATCTGTGCATAACGTACTCGTAGTGAGTTTTCGTCGGAGGATATAGCGCACATGTGTTGTATGAGTTGTCTCTCTCTCTCTCTCTCTCTCTTCTCTCTCTCTCTCTCTCTGCTCTCTTCTCTCTCTCTCTCTCTCTCTCTCTCTCTCTCTATATCTCTCTCTCTCGCTCTATCTCTCTCTCTCTCTCTCTCTCTCTCTCTCTCTCTCTCTCTCTCTCTCTCTCTCTCTCGCTCTCTCTCTCTTCTCTCTCTCTCTCTCTCTCTATCTCTCTCTCTCTCTCTCTCTCTCTCTCTCTCTCTCTCTCTCTCTCTCTCTCTCTCTCTCTCTCTCTCTCTCTCTCTCTCCTCTCTCTCTCTCTCTCTCTCTCTCTCTCTCGCTCTCTCTCTCTCTCCTCTCTCTCTCTCTCTCTCTTCTCTCCCTCTCTCTCTCTCTCTCTCTCTTCTCTCTCTCTCTCTCTTCTCTCTCTCTCTCTCTCTCCTCTCTCTCTATCTCTCTCTCTTCTCTCTCTCTTCTCTCTCTATCTCTCTCTCTCTCTCTCTCTCTCTCTCTCTCTCTCTCTCTCTCGCTCTCTCTCTCTCTCTCTCTCTATCTCTCTCTTCTCTCTCTCTCTCTCTCTCTCTCTCTCTCTCTCTCTCTCTCTCTCTCTCTCTCTTCTCTCTCTCTCTCTCTCTCTCTCTCTATCTCTCTCTCTCTCTCTCTCTCGCTCTCTCTCTCTATCTCTCTCTCTCTCTCTCTCTCTCTCTCTCTCTCTCTCTCTCTCTCTCTCCTTCTCTCTCTCTCTCTCTTTCTCTCTCTTCTCTCTCTCTCTCTCTCTCTCTCTCTCTCTCTCTCTCTCTCTCTCTCTCTCTTCTTCTCTCCTCTCTCTCTCTCTCTCTCTCTCTCTAGCTCTTGCATCCTCGAAATCCTTTTATATTCTTAAGTTCTCGAGCAGAGCTCTCACGTAGGGAGACCTCCATTCGAATACAGGTCACACATATTTGCTTACGAAGCCACAGCCAGCAGTCGACAGTAAACACCAAGCCAGGCTGAGCCTGGCCTGGCTCTTCCGGTTTGGGATGGCGTCGTAGGCATCTGTAGGAATCGTTTTACCACTCGTCACGCTCGTCCGAAAACGAGCCCGTGAGCTCCAGCTATCGTCCGCCAGCCACCCCACGTTGTGAGTGCCCGCGGCGGCCGCGGCCGGTTTTCTTAAACGGTTAAGCGACCGGCCGGGGCTGGGTCCAGTTCAAATCGATTTTCCATATGTGTTGGTTTGGCTGAGATCCGGTCCCAACTGATAATGCGGAAGCTCTATTATCCCTGTGTGGAATTCGCGTAGAGTCCAACATATTTCATGGGATTTCCGTTACGTGGAGTTCCATGAAGACATTTCTTTGGGCGAGTCCAGAACCATCGAAGGACATTTGTGTGAATGTACGTGCTAGTTCGCGTATTACGGTCCCAGTTCCTACGGGGGCAGCTTATGTACAAATCAGCGAACATGGATATGGCGCATTTAGCTGATTTACAATGTGCCCATGTTTTGTATTAGAAAGTGAGGTCTGCATTTGATATTCTTGCGACGTGAGTGAAACAAGCCCTCTGGTGCAAGCATGCGGACAGTTTCGCCCGCATCGGCACCATGGTGTTCCGGCGGCCCGGTATTGTGACCCCGAAGTGCTGCAGGTCGGGTGATTCGGTGAGATCCGGGTCCTGGCTGCGGCCAGCCAGCCATGGTTGTCGGCTCGCTTGTGCCGCGCGCCACCGGTCGGCTGGCGTCATGGCCAGGTTTGGCCGGCTGGTGTCCAGCTGGTTGTCGGCTCGGTTGTGCCGCGCGGCCGCCGGTCGACTGGCGTCATGGCCAGGTTTGGTCGGCTGGTGTCCAGCTGGTTGTCGGCTCGGTTGTGCCGCGCGGCCGCCGGTCGGCCGGCGTCATGTCCAGGTTTGGCCGGCTGGTGTCCAGCTGGTTGCCGGCTCGGTTGTGACGCGCGGCCGCCGGTCGGCTGGCGTCATGGCCAGGTTTGGTCGGCTGGTGTCCAGCTGGTTGTCGGCTCGGTTGTGACGCGCGGCCGCCGGTCGGCTGGCGTCATGGCCAGGTTTGGCCGGCTGGTGTCCAGCTGGTTGCCGGCTCGGTTGTGACGCGCGGCCGCCGGTCGGCTGGCGTCATGGCCAGGTTTGGCCGGCTGGTGTCCAGCTGGTTGCCGGCTCGGCTGTGACGCGCGGCCGCCGGTCGGCTGGCGTCATGGCCGGGTTTGGCCGGCTGGTGTCCAGCTGGTTGCCGGCTCGGTTGTGACGCGCGGCCGCCGGTCGGCTGGCGTCATGGCCAGGTTTGGCCGGCTGGTATCCAGCTGGTTGTCGGCTCGGTTGTGCCGCGCGGCCGTCGGTCGGCCGGCATCATGTCCAGGTTTGGCCGGCTGGTGTCCAGCTGGTTGCCGGCTCGGTTGTGACGCGCGGCCGCCGGTCGGCTGGCGTCATGGCCAGGTTTGGCCGGCTGGTATCCAGCCGACGCCATGGCCTTGACTCGTTAGCTGCGCTTTATTTACGCCGAGAAGCTTGAAAAGGGACGTGACGGCGGCCGTGGATCATCACTCGAAGATGGCGCTGGCGGGGCCGTTCAGCCTAGCCGCGCTCTTGCTGTGCCTGGCCGGCGCGGCGGCGCACTCCATCCAGGTAAGGCACCCGCCGCCGATGGCCAACAGCGGCCGAGTCGGCGAACGCGCTCACTGGCCGACGCTCAGCGGCGCAGGGATGGCTCGGCCGCGCACCGGCGCAATAATGAAGTGAATTGCTCACACCTCTGGCCACCCAACCACCGTTTTCTATGTTACCGATCTGGTCGGCAAATAGGCGGGAATTCATTGGTCACCTTGCGGTTGGCATTTCGCTTAGCTGGGGAACTGCTATGTGCTGCTAACTGCCGAAACCAACGCAGTGTGGATATGTCGGAACTGTGACACCTACGTGCCCTCTGTGCGCCGTTCTGACCGGAAACCTTGCGTTTTTAAATACAACACTCGCATATGCACAACGCCCAATATCACTTCTGACAGTTAAACAATGCATGCGTGTATAGTACTTGAAATAGATATTATATGTGCTGGATGTCAGAGGTCCATGTGCGTGTTGGTCACCAGCTGTTATGGTTTGATTGCCTCCATCTGGGTGGGCTATTTGTTTGAGTTTCTAGCTGTTAGCATGCTTCCCGTCCGGATGTCACACAGCATGTTTCACGCCGTCCAGTGTGGCATGTGCAGCTCTGGTACATCTGACAACATTTGTGACCACGGTCACATCGAACGCACATAGGAATATAGACATGCGCTGTTTGTTGCTATCATTCACTCATTCTTGAAATATGTTGATTTCTTGTTTTCGTCCTTGGCCTCAAAGTTGTTATTTACGTGTAAATGTCGGGCATGCCTTGCAAAGCATGTCTTTCTTTCTCAATGTCTGCATTGCTTCTTACGCAACATAAATATTGCAGGGAGGTGTAGTTTTGACAGCGTGAAAAAGCGCCGTTACTTCCTAGTCATCGTCACCATCATCATAAACACAATATTCGTCAACGTGCATTTAGCCCGTCCCTAGAAAAGAAGTTGGTTAACTTGCGTCAAATTGAATAACAAACCAATCATTCACGCAGTACTTAAAACCTTGTCAAGCTTAGCCGCAACAACGATAAGTAACTGCAACAAAGCTTGCAGAGATAATCACGCCCGACATGAATTTATTTCCGTGAAAATACTTACTTTAACGTAGTGAGTTTCGATTGGTGCAGCACCACATAATTGTTTTATCTTATATTTGTTGGTCTCGGTTATTCCATCGCGAACATGACCTCATGACAACTTTCACAAGAGGGGTCAGCTGTTCCTTCTTTCTCGGCCAAAACATCTATAATAACATGATTCCGCGAAAGAACTTCACTTTCACTTGCATTTCGTTACAGGATATGCACTTGTCTTGAGAGGTAGTTAAAATACATCGATATCCAGCACTGGAATGTTTATCACTTGAAAAATATCCATTGAAAGGCATAAAAGCTTAATCACTGACCACTTGCGCCGTTTCTGAGAAATTTCTTATCGTGACTATTTTTTTCGGGTAGTGATCACAGGTGGGTCACCGCGCTCATTTTCAGCCAATAAGTGTTCAGCGACTCACCTGTAATGCTAGACTGAAGTATGCTTCTTCTCCAATCGGTGTCCAACGTCATAATCTATGGAACGTTTTCATCCGGCCACAGCCGTGTTCCAAGTGTGCTTGGAGATTGTATTTTGCCGTGAAGATTTACGTGAATGAATTGCACCTTAGGCTCGTTACGGTACTTACAAAGGCTTGTTGGAGTGTGTTGTTTGATCCTCATCAGTAGAAGCAGTGGCAAAACCTGGTCGGTTTTGAATGCTCAAATGTCAGATGTTGCATGTCAAAACAACACTGTTTTATCAGAGCTTTTTATCGTTCGATTTTCAAGCATAGGGACTTTTTCACCGCAGCAAGAAAAGCGCGCAGCACTAACAAGGTTGACTACCATTTTGTGTGCCCGCATGCTAACACAACCAACAAGTGTGACGAGCTTGACGTAGCGGACTCAAGCTTTTTGGCATGGCGACATTCATTGGACGTCGCAATTGTATCCAAAGTCGGCTCGGGGCTGAAGGGGCTGTTCATCATTTTCTAATTATCATGAAATTGGGCCCTACACGGTGACCTATTGTCTGGTTGAATTCGTTGGTCATCTGATAGCACGCGCCATTCCCCACCAAACGAGCATACTCCGTCGTCTACAAGGAGAAATCATGGTCATGGTCAAGAAATTGCTATGGTCTCATCTAACAAAACACATTTGTTCTGATGATAAACACTAACGAAGTCCACTGCAGCAGTTGTGGCAATTCGGAACAACAGCCCGCCATGCATAGCAAGCCTGCCCGCCCCATCTTCTCACCTCAAACGAAACATCAACGCCCGTTGCTGGCAGCGGCCAACCCATCCATGCATGCAGCGCGCGCCGCTCTGGCCTCCGTCAGAGCCGGCGCGCTCTGTCGCCGGCCAGTATCCATGTCGACAGCTGGGGGCCGCCCCAACGCTCCCTCGCACGACCTTGCCCCATTCATTGCACGGCGAGGCGCACGCCTGTATAAACAGAGCGGGGGTGGGAGGCCCCGGGGATGGAAGACCGTGTTCGACAGCGGCAACAGTAACATGAGCCGCATGGAGGCCCCAGCCTGCCCCACGGATGTCCGGTCTGACCTCTCGAGCCCCAGTCTGACCTACTGATGCCCCAGTCTGACCTACCGGTGCCCCAGTCATACATACCGATGTCCTAGTCTGACACACCGATGCCCCAGTATGGCCTACCGAAACCTCAGTCTGACCTTCCGAGGCATCAGTCTGACCTCTCGAGGCTCTAGTCTGACCTACCGAGGACGACACAGAGCCCAACTTAGCAGCCCGTAAGATCCTGACTTCGCCCCGCTGGTGTTCGGTCGGGACCGGCGGCGTGACTGTGGTCTTGTCTTCTCACTGTCTGGGCTCTGAACCTATCCAGCAACACCCCGCTGACACGTCGTGCTGCATGAGGTCCGCAGGAGTCTAAACGCTGTCTGCAGTCAGCACGCACGCAAAAGCCTGGTTGAACAACCTGTTCCATACTGACACGGGATCTCCGCCTCGGCCCTCCCCCTGACGCCCCCTCGTGACAACGGCAGCTTTGCATTCCGTGCAGACTGTCCGTGGGGCAAAGCAGGACGACCCAAAGCACTCGCTGCCGCGCTGGCTCAGCTTCAGCACTGCCGGTGCTGACCTGTCCTCGGGCCGGGCCCCGGGCCCCGGGCTGGCCGCCGCGGCCCGGGGCCCGGTAACATCTCGCTGGTGGCCAGCGGTAGCCGGAGACGGTGTTTGTTTATGCCTCGACGCCGACGAGGGCGGCGCGACAGCGCTGCCATAAACCGGCACATTCCGGCCGGGCGGGTGGGCTCCGTTATCAGCGCGAGTGTGCAGGCAGGCATGCGGGCCGCCGCAGCCAGCCGGTTCGACACGCCTGCCCCCCCCCCCCCCCCCGCCACCCCCACCGGCTCCTAATGAGCGGTGCAAGGACGTGCCGACACGCCCGCACCCCCGATCGACAATCTCTTAACGAGCGCGCAGGGGGCGGCGTCCTTGATGGCAGGACTTAACATAGATAAAGCTGCCTTCTGAAACATTGTCTGTCAAATAACCTGGATTTTTTATATAATCTAGGTTACAGCCGAAGTGCATGCAACGAATCGTCGTGTAATGAGACGACTTGGAAATTTTACAAAACCGAAAAACGCGACCAGACCAGAATAACGACTCTCGTCGCTGGCTTGGTGGGGTTGGTGAGCAATCAACAAAATCAGACACAGTTTATCACAACACTTTTGCTTGTTCTTGGTCGTCATTACGTGGAGTATCGCATGGCTTATGGAAACAGATAAGGTGTGTTTTCATTTTTGCACACATTGCCGACAAAGGACACAAACACTGTCAGCAATCACCGACCATCATCCAACCTGTTTCGCTGCTTCCAGGTTCACCATGTGACGTTCGAGAATTTCGAGGGCCAGGAGGTGCCGGTCACCGTGATGGTGGACGAGCTGCGGCAAGTCGCAGTGGTGTCGCCCGTCAACGACGACCAGGGATCCACCAGCCTCTATGACTTCGACCAGGTGGGCGTCGCACGTCCACCCTCGGCCGAGTGTCTACCAAGCCTCTGAGTCCTTCTTACGGTCTCCTAATTCATCGGCAGATGGAGCCATTGCCAGCGAAACCTGATGTGTCCAACTCCCAGGGCCAGCTCCTGAGCCCTTATCGTATCAGTCAACGCAATGCCCTGAATAGGTCTATGCTGTTCTATATCATGCGAGGTCTTCTGATGATTTATGTTCCGCCTAACGAGCTGGTCCAGCCCGCCTATGCTCATTCCGCACAATTTCCCTGTACTGCTATCGACCGCCAGTAAGCCCTCATGCTCTTTCCAGCTCTGTGCGTGCCTTGCCAACACACATTGACCGCGTCTCCTGCCCTTGACCTCTGCTGCCAGGCCGTGACCTCCGCCCACCCTGCCTTGACCTCTACCGTGCGACTTTGATCCTTGCCTTCCCGGTGTGACCCCCATCGTCGGCTGTAGCCCCTTCGCCCGGCTGTGACCCCTCCACTAAGTGTGACATCTGACGTCTAGCCGTGACCCGGCTGTGACCCCGCCGTGACCCCGCCGTGCCCCGGCAGCGCGTGGTGGCGCACCGGAGCAGCGCCAGCGCCGAGTGTTTCCTGGAGCGCATTGAGGACGACTTCTACGAGCATGAGAGTCGGCTGCAGGCCATCCACGAACAGGCGGCGAACGAGCTGACCAGCACGCTCTACACCTGGAACGTCAACCTCACGGACGTGGAGGTCAGCCTCGCCGCCCCCACAGGCACCGATCGGCCCCGGTCCCAGGCCGACTAGAGACTAGAGAGGGCACTGCCAAGAGCCTTAGCGGAGTGGAAATACGACCCACGGTTGCTGTAGATTCAGGCCATCTTGAAAGTTGGAGGAGGGGGAAGGGTTCGGTAACAATTCCCTCGTATTTTCCTGTAGATTAAGATGCCAGAGACCGTTTGACAGGTCGGCAGCTTTTTGCGCGGGCCACTAGCTCGGAGACTGAAATCTGACAAACATGAGATGACAGACATTGATGAAGCCCTAAGGATTCAAATCCAACTATTGGAGTGGTACTCATGTAACTGTTGCATGCATCTCAAGATTTACTTGCATAATGACCACGCATGTTGGGAAATGGCTGCAGTCTACAGCGTAAGGCAAGATGGCTCTCAAATGTATAGAACGCTGCCCATTCTTAAATATGCGTTGCTTCTTCTTTCCTATGGACATTATGTCTTCGACTGAAACACCTGTCATGCCATCTTGTCTCCGACTAAGATGCTTGTCATGCCATCGTGAATTCGAACAGCGCTCGAACGCACGAGTTGACGTGAGCCAGAAGCTGGCTCGGTTTATATAACGCCGCGGGCCGCACCACCAGTGCTCCCCGTCCACGTGCCGATCGGTCTCGATACAAGGCCCGAGCATGTCCAAGGTCGAGCCCGGACAGGCCACCATCTCCCCCCAATGCCTGCGCGATGTGCGATGCCTGTGGGTTGATGGGAGCGTTAATTACCCAGCGCTACCAAGTGTCAAAACAAGTGTGTATTTTGGTCATACAGCTTCTGTTTCTTTAGCCCGTGTGCTGCAAAAAGTCGTCCACAAACTGACGTTCAAAATTTGATGACATGCAAATCATGCCTACAGGCATAGTCGTCTGCACGACGATCTTTACGCAGAACTTTTACGCTTTGGCAAACCCTCGCATCGATCACGGCCAAGGACTTACTTTATTTCCTGAATTTGTTTCAATGATCCCCGGCGACAACAGCGACTGGAGCGTTTGATGTCCGCGCTAGGAAGGCTAGAAATAGTCCAGAATGTGAGCCAGAATGCCCCGGGTTCAGTTTTCACGTGCTGGCTAGCGGCCGGAATGCGTTGCACTCTCACCGTTACATAATCCAGCGGGACTGATGGTGCACTGAAACGCAAGTGTAGTGACTGTAGTCAAGGTTCGCATGCAGAATGATGAGACTGCCGAGACATGGGTAGTGCGGAGTGCAGTACTAGACGATTAAAAGAGGCGGACTGACGAGCAAGATTGCGAACACTGAACGCTTGCCGTTGAAGCGAGCACTGCTGCTCGAGCGCTGTCTTGTAGGCGATGTGGACAGGGTCAACCGCCAGGGTGAGCACGTTGCACGATTCGTGACAACAGTAGTGGTAGTCCTTGGAAATTTGAATCATTGTTGTTGCCATTGGGCTTTACGACGCACTACGTCGCTGAGGCTATGTGGTATCGACTGTCTCTGACCCTGGCAGGAAGGGCAGGCACCGCTGAAAACCGAATCCCGTGCCTCTGGTTTCCCAATCGCGCAGCTTATCTACCGGTATCTACCCAATCTACCGGTACTCCGAATCTGGTGCCTTTGGCGAGGCAAATCGTCAGTCATTGGCCTGTCTGATGCGGAGCGCATGCAGCTCCGCCTCTGATGCTGCTGCGGCCCGTCCCTGATCCTCACTGTGGAGACCACAGTCCCGTGTCTGACAGGGAGCGCAGTGGCAGCAGCATATGCGAGTGTAGCGAGTGCAGTTCGTTTACGACGGGTTCCGTAGATCGGCCGTGCGTGATGAGGAGTGTGTGATGAGCAATGTGTGATAAGGAGTGTGTGATGAGGAACGTTTGATGAGGAGTTCGTGATGAGGAGTGCGTGATAATGAGTGTGTGATGAGGAACTGTGATGAGGAGTGCGTGATCTGTGTGCGATGAGAAACGTGTGACTAGGCCGTGTGTGATAAGGCCGTGTGTGACGAGTGCAGTGACAGTGACAGCGTGACGTGACACCGCAGACGGGAGACCAGGCCGGCGAGAAGGTGCAGCGCTTCTGTGCGGGCATGACGGCTACCTGGCTATCGCCCGAGAGGCCGGAGCTGCTCGAGTTCGACGGCATCGAATACCCGATCGGTGTCCAGGACGAGCCGGCCGCCTCTGCGCAGATCTCCTGTGAGTCCGGTTCTGCAGCGTCCCCTGTAGCTGTTGCTTTCTGTAGCTGCCTCAGGCAGCAGCCGCACATTTCCACGTTCGCTGTGCTGGCGCATTTCTCGCGGTGTTGCCCGTGACATACTTTATTATTCGAGCGGTATGCAAATTTCATAAGCTTGCTCAACCCCGGTGAATGCTTTTCCACAATGGACACGCATGCCTTCAATATGACGAGCGACAACGGCCGTAAGCGACAACGCTCAAAAAACGCACTCTGATAGCGTGGGTGGAGTTCCCCATGCGGAATAACAGTCTGGAAATTCACAGTTAATGAATAATTCCTGCCGTGCTTGGAGCCAGCGGGCCGGTCCGCTCATTCAGCGCCATGTCGCTGTGTCCGAGCCCAGCACGGGGCAATCGCCACAGGGGTGTGACACGCGTGCGACGGTGTGCCCGCAGACCGCAGCAAGAGGAGCGCTAACACGTGGGGAGGCCAGTCGCAGTCGGCATGGAGCCACTACGGGCGCGGCTCCGGCTCCAGCAACGCCCTGGCCACGCCGAAGCGTGCGCAGGCCGCAGTCGGTGGGTGAAGCGACCGCTCGTGCCGACGGCAGTGCGGCTCAGGCGTCGGGCAGACGCACAGATCAGTGGGGTCGTGACCGCTTCTCCGTTTGCTGTCTTGTAGCTAGGGACTTATCGCCAACATTAATGTTTGACCGCCTGCAGGGCCTTTCCTTTCGAACTGTTCGAAGCATTGTTCATGCCTGCTCGTCACATAACTTTTTGAAAAGGCTGTCGTTCATTTCGTGAAAACTAATCGACGTGGATCCTCACGTTTCCAATCCCTAGAATAGTAGCCGAGATGGATTCGTTCTCTAATATCAGCGTAATAAGACGATGCTGTTGGTCTTATCTCGAGACGTTGCTGCTTCTTTAGCGTCGGATCGCTACATCACCGATCACCTGACCAAAACACACCTGGAGCTTATAAATCTATAGCTCACTAATGTCCACCCCATGCCATTTTCATGAATTTTAAGGACATCATTTGCAAGTGCGCACGGAATTGCGTGAATTTTTACAAATCGCGGCTAACAAATACCAAATATATAAGCTTGACTATCGACGCGCCACGCGCCAGGAACAGCGACAGCGCCTCTGTACCTGTATCTGTATCTGTATCTGTTGGGCCGTACCGCGCTCTCACACTGCCGGCTCTGTGGTCGGCAGGCGGCA